ATCCAGAAGAACATTGGCAGACTTAAGGTCGCCATGCACCGTCGCCTTGCTGTGCAGGAAGGCCATCCCCGCGCAGACATCTTGGATGATCTGTCGGCACTTATCCTCGCGAAGCGGCTGCTCAGAGTTCTTCAGCATGGCCCGAAGGTCACCGCCCGCCTGCAGCTCCATGACCAGAACCAGGCGGTCCGGCCGCGAGGTGATCGCTCCGTAGACGTTGACGGTATGAGGATTTCTCAGGCGAATCATGGCGTCCAGTTCGCGCAGGAATGCCTTGCGCTCGGCCTTGTCCCGCAGCGCGTTTGACTCTATTGTCCGTGGCCCACTCAGTGGTATGCCGTTCCCTCCCGGCTTGCCCAGGCCGTGGGTGGTGTGCTGTACCTGTATCATTCAGCGAAATATGCACCGACGTCAACGATAACAAATGAACTAGACAAAGCACGACAGCGGAAACGAATAACGGGGTGAAATAAGTCCTGTCGGTGGGTGGGGTTTGGCCCCTCCGCTCCCCTGGCAGGCCCTACTCGCTCGCTCGGCGGTAATACTGTACTCGCAGATGCTTCGGTCTACAGATATAGAATGGCTTGAGTCATACCTTGGCCGCCGCGTTGTGGCCGTTGTAGTCGGCTAGGTACACCACGCCAAAGCCCCCCTTTCCCAGCACCTCGTTCGTGATCGACACGTGGTCCTCGGGGATTTCAATCTGGTCGAGCTTGTGCTGCCGCCTCGACCTGCGGGCTTGCGCCAGAGATTCTACCTGAGCCTGAGCGTCCGCCGTTGACCTCTGGTACATAGAGACGAACGAAAAACACCAAGAGGCACATGGCCAAAAAACACCCGTCCTGAGCTGCTTAACTGAACCCTCCCGCCACAGGAGCGATTCGATCAAAAGGTGAGGCGATTCTGTGAAGATTGTAGAAACGGAGTGTCCTCGAGAGGGCCCCTGCACATGGCTACCGCGTTCACGGAGGGCCCGTAAGTATTGCCCGCCTTGGCCCGTGGTCAGTACAAGCCGCCGAGGCATAATCTTGCGGCGGGCTACAGCAGCAGCAGCGTCCGAAATCGAAGGATTCTACATAGAGTTCGCTTCATCTCCGTGGCACGTCCTCACCTTCACAAGGTGGGCAACGTCGTGTTGAACCTGCCCAACGTCGTGCCCCACCTGCACCTGCAGGCCCAACTTGAGGACACCAAGCAGCAAACACGGGAAAACGCAGGCGGTAAGGCGACGCCAAGAGTCCTACTGATTCCTATACTATTCGGTCGTCCGATTGTAGCCGTGCATGACCGCTTTATGAGGGCTTCCCATAAGGTGTACCCCGCGTTGCCAAAGGTAAAACCGTGTTTTGTGGCACGGGACAATAACATCCCTAAGCCCAACATCGACATTTCAAAGCAATGAACGATATGTACAGAGCCACCTTGAAGAAGAAGCTAGACATGACAGAGACAACTGAGCAGTTTTAGCGCAGCTGGCTGCTCAGTCGAGACGCAATCCATACTGAATATTATGGCATACTTGTTGCGGTACACGACACTCACATGTAGGCCCCAGACGGCCCTGTCGATAACCGCGTTCAGCTCGTCCTGGCGCCGCTTGAACAGGGTCGATGTCAACACCCTTCCGAGCTTGCTCTTGTTCTGGAAAGTTTTGATCAGCTCCACGAGATCGGAGACAGCGTCGTGCACTTCTTCCATTAAAACGCGCTCCTCCTCCGTGCTCGTGTCGCCACCCTACATGTACATTGCAGCATACATACATACGAGGCATGCACAACGATTCATCGAGCGCTAACGTTTGCACAACGGAGACATCAATGTGCCTGCCGTCGCACACATCACACCGCAGTCGCACAGCAGCAGAGAGAAGAGCCGAGTGGGCTGTGTGGGCGTCGCCTCAGCAAACACCCAAACAGTTCGCGTTCCTTCCCCTAGTGCGCACTCATTCTTGCAGTTCCTTATCCAACTCTGACCAGAAAAAAATAGCAAGAAGCAACGCTTGCAAATCTGATCGAAGAAGAAAAACATTTAATACTTCGAAGTTTCATACAGCACAAAAACAAAGTACGAGTACAGACCACGTATTGGCCCAACCGCTCGAACCCGCGGTGAAAATGTAGGCTTGCGTTCCGGATAAGGACGGCAAAACCTTCCATTATGCACAAACTTCAGGTTCGGGGTTTTAAGGTTCAAACGCAAAAGGAAAACGGCATAATGCAGTGAAAATCCTCAACTTGTCATTGTGGCGGAGAGAAATGCGCAATTCTGCAGGAACAATCGAACGACACCGCGTGACAGATCATTGATCGTACTTGAACCCCTGAAAATTTCAGTACAAGTATGTACGCCAAGAAGAAGGCGTGTCTCCAACATCGTTGACGCCTCTAAATCATGCAGGATACATAGGACAGAACAAAGCATGGTGCCCACATCCTTGACGCCTCAAAATCAGGTAGGATACATGCGACAGAACAAAGCATGGTGCACACTCCAGCATGCACGAGTCATGCTCACCTTGCCAAGCACCTTCGCCGCCCGCTCAAGCATCATCACGATCGACCGGCACCGCTTAACCCCGGCGCTGCTCGTCAAGTCCCGATTGTCCAAGACCAAGTGTATCAGAATCGACACCGCCGTCGCCGCCTCGCTGACGCCGGGGATCTGGCAATGATGGGCCAGATCCTTGGCCGCCACCAGCATTGCCTCACCGTATCCCAAGGCGTTTGACGTCCGTCGGCGGCCAGCAGGGGCAGCCGCAGGAGCAGGAGCAGCCGCAGTGGCAATCGCCGAAGGAGCGCCGTCGGCCCCTTCCTCCGCCGAACCCCCGAACCCGGCAAGCTCGGCCGTCCACTCTTCCGTCGACACGTCGTTTGTGGAGTTCGTAGTCGTCAACGGCAGCAAGGCTTGCTCGGCTGCCGCCACGCAGCCGTTGCCGTCTTTCACCGCATCGCCGCCGCCCCGGCACGCATCCGCCGTCCTAGTGCCACCACCGCTTTCGTTGTTGTCGCGTGTGCACTTGGGAGTTCCCTCGGAGCTGGGCCTCGGCAGGGCGCCCACGGGC